ACAGTCTTTTTATTCTATTCTGTACATTGCATTCACCTAAAGGTTAGCTGAAGAGGAAGATCATTAATGATCACTGAACAAATCCAGCAGATTGAGTTTACATAAACAAATAAGGAATTTAGGATCGACTTGAGCATCAGTGTTGAATGGAGGACAGAAATAACTCTAATATTTAAAAAGAAAAAAACATCAACACCTTCAAATATTTTTCATTTGCCAGATGCGTCAGTGCATTCAGCAAGACACATCCAAGGTGTTTCCCTTTATTTGTAGACTGAAGAGTTTGCTCCATGTCTGCACAATATTTCAGATACTAGTTTAAATGTGCGTCATCTCAGTCGCAAAGGACAGCTCAGACTGAGAATTTGACAGGCTGTTATGAGTCTGCAATTTAAACATAATTTAAACAAGATATTCTTGGACAGTTGGAGGAAATTTTACTACCTTTCATGTCCTCACTTGATCTAAATCTTTGAAAACAAAATACTGTAACCAGGAATTGCAACAGAATGAACGGGAAGGAAAAAGGACCAAAGGAGGGCAAAACATGACCAAACAATTTGATGACAATATTACTATTATTATGTTTTCCTAATAATATCAAGCCATTATTAAAAACATTAATCAAATCTATTAATAAGTGTGAATATACATTTAAACTGCTATGTGCTATTGTTTTCTTTTTCTCCCAAACATTTTTCCTCCACTTAACTTTCCATTAACATGCTTAGATACAGCACCCAGGTGCTGCTTTTGTAGCTACTTATTGGAGAACTGTAATGGAAAAAAGTCAGTGGTGGTCCTAAGGCCATACCATGCATTCCTGTGGATTTGTGGGATTATATGACCTCCAGGTCTCCATATGAAAGATTTTAACCCAAAAATAAAATCCTAAATGACCTTTCCTGCTGTGTGATGAATCTATGTTTCATTTTTCGATTTCAGTAAATCCCCTTTATATATCTCTATCCGTATTCATTATTGCAGGTATCCAGTTTATACATGCAGACGTGTAGTTTGTTGAAAAAGGGAGGAAAATAAAGCCAACTCATGACTCAAATCAGCAAATTACCGCACACCAACGCACAAGCGGTGACGCGTTCAATGTTTCTATTAATCTGTCTCAGACCATCATCAGCCGCCCTCTTTTCCTCCTATCTCTCTGGGCAACCGTGCGTCCCGCCGCACTCATCGAGGAGACCGCGGTGCCAAGACCAGTACGGTCGCGCACGGTGAGCGCGCGGTGCCTTCAGACTCTTTCACTGCTTCAGCCTCTAAGATCGGGAATATTTCTTGAAGATAGATGTGAATACATAAATACATTAAAAGAAAAAAAACAGAGAAATGCAGTGTGGACGGCGGCTCTGATAGAAGCTGCCGTGCGTAACCGTGCGGGGAGCAGGTGGATGGAGAGCCTGGAGGGATGCAGCTTTCCAGCGGGTCGGAGCCGCTTCGGAGCGGCGGGACTAGTGAAGATGAAGCTTTCTAAATGTAAGTCAAAAGGGCGAGAAAATGGCATCAGATATTTCACATTTGATAAGTTAAGATTCTGTGTAGAGATAGTCCCATTTGGTCTGCCAGGTGAACTCATTAAGGTTATTAATCGGTGTGAGCAACAGGGTCTGCTTTAGTTTTTGGTGATTAAATAGATTTGGGAACCAAATAATTTTCCTATGCTTGTTTAAAGTGTGGTTTGTTGCACTATTAGAAATGTCAATAAAACCTTCAGATCTGCTCAAAATCAAAGGAAAAAGTATAATAAGCTCATTAAAAGAAAAAAGAAAAAACAAGAGATGCATTTGTTTTCACCAAAATATCCGAATTTTTTTAATCAAATGCATTTTCTTCAGTGTCTACTTACTTAAAAGACTAAAATGATGTGACCTGATTAGTTGGTTTTCTTTGAAAGCCTCCCCCTGATCTGGACATTTGCTTCATGCAGTCTGCAGGTTAACTGTGAGGCAGTAATAAGCTGAGCTGTACATGCTGCTTCCCTTGGCATCACCCCTCTCCATCATTTCACACTCAGAGTGCAGAGCTGAGATGAGACAAGCTGCAAAGACACTGCAATTTGGAAAAAGCTCATTAGAGTTTCTGTTTGCAGCAACAACCAAATTAGCTTTTCTTCTTTATAATGAAAATTCTAGATTATTACAAATACATTTAACCCTAGGATGATACATAATTACTACTGCTTTCTGCAGAAAATAGTCCTGTTTCTCATTTCTCTTTCAATCCTTTTAAATATATCAGTGTTCTCTTTAGTATCTTTATTGAAGCACTGATTAAAATTGCGGATGAAATTTTCTTAACATGATCAAATCTTTAGGCTCCATAATATCATGCAAAAATTAAAAAAAGACTCAAATAATACAATTAAATTTAGCAACTACCCCCTACCCCCCTTTCTAGCTGCTGTTATCAACTGTGACGGACTTAATCATTTCTGAACTCTGCTGTATTTTAGCAGAACTCACTAATATTCCTGACTCAAGTGGCATGGACATATGAAGAGTAAAATTTCACAAGAATTTTACACGTCCTGCTTTCAATTGGGTAAAAAACAGAATTTTCATGATTAAAAACAATTGTTTAATTCTTAACCTATGAAATCCTGCCCTGAATCTTTGCCTTATGCAAATGATTGACCTAAACCTGCTGCCATAGAAAAGCTACAGGCAAACTGAGGCTCAAGAAATCAGTTTTAAAACCACTAGAATTCACAACCGTACATTTTTTAGGAATAAAAATCCCTTTATTGAGATGGTAGATGTAGCTTTGTTAAATACTGAGCCCCTGCCACCCAGCAACAAACCCACCCCTCTCCCATGGCAACTGTAATAGTCCTTATGTTGGACAGTTTTAGCATGGGTAGGATTATGAATTATTGTTGATTTTCTGCTTTTATTGAAGAAATTAGTCAATGGTTTCAAACATTTTTGTTTTAATAATGTTAAAACTGTATTATCTCTTTTTCATGGTCATCATTCTATAACAGCTTGTCAGTGCTCCATACTTTACTTAGATATACCAAGAGTTTAGAAAGTTGTGTTTTAAATGCCTAAAATGAAATAAAGGTTTAGAATTAAAACTGGTGTTAATAGCGCTACCCCCACCCCCCATCCACCTGATGGTGGGCGCTGCTGATCCGCTGGTTAACATAAGGCCCCTACGTTTATTTCTAGATTTTAATAAAGAAAGAAATCTGGAATCATCTTTTACTCTGTCGGTAAAATTTTTAAACTTTTGTTGGCAAGCTAGAAACTGTTTTTTTGTAAAGCAGCAGACTGCAGGCTAGTTACTTAGCTTATAATGTTATACTGCATTCTTTCTTATTCAATAAAAGCAAGAACGGCATAAATGAGAAATATTAATGGTTGTTGACTCCGCATTTAGCTGTTGTTAATTCTTATTCTCTTTAAATTTTTGTATTGAGGACATAAAGTAATGGTAAACAACTTTTTCTGTCATGATCATCATATTTGTAATCATTCTACTTTATTATTTCAGCAGTAGTAGGAACAATTGTTAATTTCCTGTTTATTACATTTGGTTATCATACCAGCGTTACCTATTATTGACTAAAGTAAAACACATTGAAAGATAAACAGTAGAATCTCCATTTTGTCTATTAGCTTCAGCTGTGTTAATACAGTAGTTTTCAAATAAAGATTGGTAGAAATTTGGGGAAAAAACATTGTTTTTGTATGAAATTCCATACTAATGACTAATAAATTTCCAAATTGCGTCTTTTAACACTTCAGAGTTTTACAGAAAGATTTTATAGAGAAATAAAACAAACTTATAATTTGTAGATAATCCTCAGTGAAATGGTTTCATCCACAAGCATTACACTTTTAAAGCTGATCTCAAGTAATTCATGGAAACAAAATCTTCCCCTTCGAGACACTCACTGTCACCCCGGATGGGGCTGGGGGTTGGGGTGAGCGATCCCGCCACAGTGTCAGAGCTGTTTGTCCCAGAGATCAATTGAATAAACATTTATCTCTGCAGCGTGGTGGCCTTAACGTTCTCCTGCTCAGGCGTACCCTTTATGAATGTATGCATCGATGCAGGAGGCAGGGCACACACACACAGACACACACATACACCGGAGGTTGAATGCTGGCAGCCTTGGTATATTTGAGGCCCGCTGTAGATAGTGAGAGAAAGATAGAAACCCTGATGGGACCGAGCAGAAATGTGTACGTGTGCAACTGCAACTCCTAAAATACATAAATAAATCCCATGTGCTTGTTTAGGATGTTGTTTGGTAATGTTTCTGTGTCCTTGTAGCTGTTCTGTTAGAAAACCCTGAATTGCTTACCACTCCTCATGTTTTCACTCCCCCACTGCGTTTCTCAAATGTGGAAGAAAATGGCCAAAAGTTATTTTTATATCACGTCTCATGAAAACTGAATTGACCCATCCTTGTGTTTATGTCTGTCTGCCAAAAGCTTACTCGAGTTTCAAGAAGCTGTGAGGAAAAACAAATCAGAAGGCACAATCACGAGAAAGGACCCTTTACATGTGACTATAGCTGAAGGTGTAAAGCCAGTTATGTAAAGTCACCATGTTGCTGTTGCCATGGATATTGCATAAGTGATATTATTACAAGACGAAGAAAATAATCATTGTTGTTCAGCTAAACTTACTGTTTTCTTACTTCTTTCTCCATAGATCCATTTTTGGTCTATTTTGTCTCCTCTTTGCCGCTGGAATGTGATCACAGAGGCTCAGTGAACATTAAAGTCCCCAGTCATCCCACTCCCCAGATGCCCAACCCCTTCAGACTACAAAGTTCCCCCTTACCCCAGACTATTGTTTTTATCCGGGTTTAAAACCTTAAGGAATCCTTTTAAACTTATCTTTGATTGTTCAGTAAAATCTATGCTTTGACGTACAAAGTAAGGCCCGTTCCCATACTCTATGTAACGTCTTTCATATCACCTTGATCTTTAAAAGAATAGCCTCTTTGATAAACAAAAAGTTTTGAAGTCATGGCGTTGGATCTGTGGCCCTTCCTCCCAGCATCCCCTAACATCACCATCCCCGAACCCCTCTTGTACGACACCTACATCCCAGAGAATGAGTCAGACCTGAATGCCAACTACTCAGATCACCGGGAGCTTCATCAGGATAAAACCAGCTCAGTCGTCCTCAGCTTTATCAACTTCATGGTTTGTGCTGTGGGACTATGTGGAAACACCCTGGTGATCTACGTAATCCTACGTTATGCCAAAATGAAGACGGTGACCAACATTTACATCCTGAACCTGGCAGTGGCAGATGTTCTATGCATGATGAGCCTGCCATTCATCGCCCTGCAGCTGGCTTTGGTCCGTTGGCCCTTTGGAGAGGCTCTGTGCAGGGTGATCATGACCGTAGGTGGGTGGAAAGCAGAAGGCTGATGAGTCACTGTCGACAGTAGAAGATGGCCTCCCAGCGGGGAAATTAACCGCAACTCCTTATCTGACATAGTAGATTATATAAAAATAGATGTCAATCCATTTAGCCAGAGCTAATAATTGTTCTTTTATGTTTCTATAAAGCAGTCTATAGGCTAATTTCTCTACAAATTATGCAAAGGTTTGGATTTTTTAACAACCCAGAAATTAAATACATATTAAACATTTAAGATACTTCTGTCAAAATGTAAAACTGTTATTCTACTCTCAAAAGTTTGATGAGTTTTAGAACATCTGTTATATATATTCTTCCTTGACTTGCTGCACCTAAAAACGTCCATGTTGTATTATGCTAAACATTCTGTACTTATGTTTTGCAGTCTGAAACATTTTACTGTATATAGGTGACTGAAATGGACAAAAGATTTTTATCCAACTTGTTTTCTTCCTTTTTCATCAATAGAAAAAATGTTCATGTCCCACACAAAGTTTAACATTATAAAATTTTGTACTGAACATTTCCTTTCAAGTAAAGAAGGTATGAGGCCTTCATATTTCGATCAACAGCTATTTAAATGTATAGTAGAGGATTTTAACAAATCTTTAAAAGAAAATCGTCCTCTCCACTTTAAAAAAAACACACATGCTTTATTCTTACTTCTTGTTCCATAGATCCATTTATGGAGATCCACAACCCCATTACACTCCTCTGCTAGCTGCTAAACTCCTAGCCTTGTGGGCTGATGTCCTCTTCAATGTGTCTCTGCTTCAACACACCTTGATCAAATAGTGAAGTCGTTAGCAGGACTAGAGAACTAGGCTCGATCTGAATACCTCAAAGTATAGCTCCCACCTCCTGTTCCTAGCTCCTATCTCTTCACCTTTCGCAGGGTATTCTATCCAGGGTACAGAAGGAGTTCCAGACTGCTGTGCTGAATCCAGGCAGCCCTCAGCCTTACAGATGTTATAGACACACACATAGATGATGCTGATCAAATTAGGAATACAGCCTTCTAGGAAAAGAACTACAAACAACGAAGTTACAGAAATGTGACAAGTTTATGTAGCTCTTTCTTATAAAACCCAAAACATATTAAGTGTGTATATTATCACGTGTAAGACAGAGTGCATGTGAATAAATATAATTTTGCTAAACTGTGTAAGCTGGGCTCTGCTTACATGTCCTGTCAGCTGTGATTGTGTGAATCTGCATACATCCCATCGGTGGTTAGGGATGTCATAGTGACAGTTGCATTGATGCTAGGAGGTATCCTGCTTTCTGGTCCTAGCTCCTTCCTTACTTGCAGCACTATTTGGATAACACTTATTATAGTGAACGCTGTGCACTTCTATCATGGTTTAAAGCTACAACTTGGGATTTTAATCAAATAGTCTGATCTATTTGTGCGTAATGGTGAACTATAAAGCCACTAGCTTGACGGCCCTGAGAGCAAGCCAGTGGCTAAACATGAGACCTGCTCCCATGTAATTCTAAATTGCAAAAAAGATTTAGACTTTCAGTTCGTAGATGATAATAACCCACTTATGTATGGTATATTACCTTTCTGTCGGTAAATCCCTGTGATTGTTACACACTGTGGCTTTAGGAGTCCTCACCGATCTGAGGTATTCGGGTTGGGGCCTTGGCTAGATCACAAGGAGGTAATTCAGTCTTTTGATTCTTATGTGTTGTACCAGAGACACCTCTAAAAGTTGCAAGACAACGACCGCAGAGGACTGGAGTTTAAATCATCCCATTTTAGTTTTCTTAGGACCTTTATTCAGAATTAAATGCTTAAAATAAATAAAAAAGACTTTAAAAAAGCCCTTGGTTTGCTACCAATAGAAGACTATGAAAGAGTTCAGGGTCTTTATTGGCTACAGGTGAGCCAGGTTGCTTTATTCCTACAGTGCATGCAAGTCATTTATATCTTGTTTATCAGTCCTTTACAAGTTTAGTTGTCTACCAGGTACCCCTGAAGTTCACTAGATCTCTTTACAAGCTAAGAATCTATCAGAATGTTGCTGTAGATCAGATTTAAAAGATCAACTAGTCGCTTGAAATCTATTTTAATTTAAGACATAGTAATTATAATTATTCACCCTGGGCCACATAACAGAAATGTTTCTTCTTCCCCTTTTCTCTGATCATCCCCCCTCTTACCTCCAACAGACTCACTCAATCAGTTCACCAGCATCTTCTGTCTGATGGTGATGAGCATCGATCGGTACCTGGCTGTGGTGCACCCCATTAGGTCCACAAAATGGCGGAAACCCCGTATCGCCAAACTGATCAACGTCACTGTATGGGGTGTTTCACTGATTGTTAACCTACCAACAATGATCTTCAGTGGCTTGAACAAGGTGCCGGTTTGTGGGATAGTGTGGCCTGAACCCCAGGACCTCTACTACAAGATCTTCATTTTCTACACCTTCTCCATTGGATTTTTCATGCCGCTGACTGTGATATGTCTCTGCTACCTGCTTATTATAATCAAGGTGAGAAGAACAGTTATAATATTTAATACGCTTCTATCTTTTTTTTTAACTCTCATGCTCTGGCTCCTGTAAGGACACAGACTTTCAGGAAGACTCATACCAGGAAAGTAGAATCATGAAAAATCTGGTCATTCCAACTGGTTTGTGTCTTTCAAATGAAAGGCTATTGTTTCATTTTTAAGCAATATAATAAGTCAGATATTTTTGAGGGGTAAAAGTTTAAATCACACCTCTTGAATTTTTCAACATAAATAGACAATATATAAACATTTGCGCTTAAACCACACAAAAAAAAAATCTCATACAGAAGGCCCATTTACACTACCCTTCTGAAACCGTGCCGAGATCGGTCCAAGCATGGTAACCGAGATAATCGTTTAGTGTAAATGGAATGCACAACTGAACTGGACCACGCCAGACACAACCGAACCGCGCTAACATGGTACTAGTTCATCAGTAGGGCTCGGTCTGGTCCAGTTCTGGCTCGGTTCTCAGATAACAAAGAGCGCATCCATAAGCCCTGATTGGACTATCGTTTGTCGTATCCACTTCCCAAAAGTGGCTTAGAACCTGTCAAGTAAATTCACCAAAGGCTGCCTTCTTCGCCTGATCTTAGCAAATTTCCTGAATGTCATGGGTGCCACCATGTTGGTTTGTTTGTTTACCTTTAGACAGCAGTAGTACCATAGATTGCCGCTAGGAGGCGAGGAACCGTGATAGCATGGTGTCTAAACAGTCATAAGGAACTGTTTGTTGTTTTTCAGAGGGTAGTGTAGATGGGGCTACAATTATCTAGATCAGTGGTCTTCCACGTTTTCACCCCCATGCAGTACCTCCATGGACCCCCTAGGGGTGGCGGACCCCCTGTCAATCTAGATGAACTGCATTTCATCTTCTTAAACTGGAAAAGGAACTGTGCGAAAAGATTTCCACAGTGGAAAAATGCGGAACTATAACATTGTAATGTCCAAGTTGACCAGTTAATGGTTACACTTGGTGTTTTTAAGCTACTAGCTAAATTACTAATTGATTTAAGTTAGTTTCTGGACAAATAACTGCACAGAAAGATTAAAACAAGGGAACAGTTCTGACAAAGCAAACTGTCATGTTTGCTGGGATTTAAAAAAAAAATTACAGTTCATTGTCAGTCAGCCAGAAAGAGTTGAGTAATTCATAAGCTCAAAGGTGTCGTTATACAGTTGGAAACCTTTTTTTTTTTGGTAGGAATTATACTCAAAATTAAACCCTGACCAGTTTTAGCAGTTTTTCTGATTTGTTTGTCTATTAATAGAATGAACAAACAGTTATGAAATCCAACAGGTATTTTATCACTTACAAGGTAGTCTAACATTCATTAGAATGCATTTGTCTAGTATACTAGTATGTTGAGAAAAGGAAAGTAGTGGCTTATTGTCCTTTCTACGCTTACTGTTGCTTTTTAAAAGTGCTAATAGAAAAAAATTTGATTTAGAGCAGAACATCATTGTTGGAAAACATCCTTGAAATAAGATTGATTTGTAAAGCAGCTGAGTCAGATGTCTTAATAAGGATGAAAATTATTTTCCTTATGAGGAGGTGCCTTTTTAAAAAGTCACCTACAACTGTTCCAACTTGAAGAAACATGTTTGAAAGGTTTAAATTCATCATTCTGACAGTTTAAGGCTGGTCAAACATAAATCAATCTTAAATCAATCTTGATTTGCCGGAATATTTAAACCCTTAAGCAATATTACTTTAATCATAATAACTGCTCTCCTGTGGATGAATTGATTTATGGGGATTCTTCTTCAAATGAAGTTTTTTTTTTTTTATTAGATGCCCCCCAAACCTTTTTTTTAACAGGCTGCTAAGGCTTACATTGCTATATAGGATTGGATTATAATCAGATTGGAATGAAATTAAGTGGCTGGATAAGGGTCAGGTGAACTGCATTGAACTGGATTTTCCAGGATTTGAACTGACCATGTTTGCTTTCCTCGTCCACTAAATGCCCCGAGAGGATTTTAGTTATAAGTCAGTTCCATTTAAACTAAACTGAACTAATATGAATTAATACTGTTTTAAAAATAAGCAATTCCCAGAAACTCTGCTTCTTTTTTCCATGTGATATTTCGTTTATCAGAGAAGAAAGAAAAGCCAGTCTGTGTTCTGGGGGACTCAAGTAAAAGCATTTAATTTAGATTATTTGTATATTATAACAGGAGATTAATCATTCAACTTTGTTATCGGTTCAGGGATTAAATTAATGAAGTTGTACAGTACTTGTTGGAAGGTACATTAGGCACATCTGTGCTGAATATGCAAATAGCCTCTTTTAAATCATTACTAATGCTAAATAATGTAAACATGGTTTTAAGGATTTACATTTGACCATTTAGATTATATCTTGCTCAGGGCCTTTTAAAACTATCAATTTATATTTCCATGTTGCATCCATAAATTTAACGGGGTTCTATTGGGCTTTTAAGTGATAAACTAATGCTAAGTAGCACAGAAGCGTGAAGCAGAAGGAAAATGTTTTGATAAATATTTCTTAAAATAAAATCAGATCCAATTAAAACACATTTACTTTAAACGATTATTTTGCATGATACTGTTTTGATGTTCTACTTTCCTAACTCCTATCAGTCTGTGTGTTTGTGTGAAATCTGGTATTTTTCCAGTTTGAAACCATTTCCTGTCCTCTTAACCAGGTGAAATCATCGGGATTGCGTGTGTGTTCCTCGAAGCGGAAGCGTTCGGAGCGGAAGGTGACGCGGATGGTCTCCATCGTGGTGGCGGTGTTCGTCCTTTGCTGGCTGCCTTTCTACATTTTCAACGTCACCTCCGTAACCGGCTCCATAATGCCCACCTCAGCCGTCAAGACCTCGTTCGACTTCGTGGTGGCCCTCGCCTACGCCAACAGCTGCGCCAACCCCATCCTCTACGCTTTTTTGTCCGATAACTTCAAGAAGAGCTTTCAGAATGTTCTGTGTCTGAAAAAGGTGGCCGGCCTGGACGAGATAGAGCGCAGCGACAGCAGGGCGGACAGGAGCAGGATGGTAAACGAAGCCATGCTCATCAACGCCAACCTGGAGACTCATAACTCAGCCCTGCTTAACGGCGAGTTGCAGACAAGCATCTGAGGTTTATAGAAGCGGCAGCAACATGAAAGGAGGAAAGAAAGCCGTGGACTGCTGGCGTATTGCTAGCAAGGCCCGCTTACAGTTGCGGGGGCAGGAAAATGATGTAATAGCTGCTTGTGGACACTGACAGAAGAGCAAAGTCTGACAGAAGATAAACATTTTTAAAATTCACAGAGTGCATTGACTCCACTTTAAAACTTCTAACAACACAACTGCAGCTTTAACCCTGGAATGGAGCAAAAGTATGAAAGATTTGTTTTTGTCTTAATCAAATGTTTTTAAGGTTTCTGATTGACCTGAACCAGCTTGTCCACTGCAGCAGCTAGACTGCCTCTTATCAGCTGGAGAGGATTCAGAATTAGATCCCCAACCATCATAATCACCATCAGAAAGATAGAAACACAGCAGAGGAGCACTTTCATTTCCTGTAGCCTTTCAGTTCCAAGAGTCTGAAACCACTGCCCACACATGACAAGTGTAACTGTATATTTTTACTCACATCAGCTGATTAGGTTGGTTGTATATAGTGGAAATGGGGAACAAAGTGGTATCTGTGATCTACTGATGGATTATTTTCTTGCCTCTCTGGCTTGAATCTTCATGAATGAGGTAGCTCTGAACCATGAACACAAATTCAACATCCTGGATCAATGACCAAGGATTGGAAATCAACAGTTTTTGTACATAGAAAATGGATTACCAGGAACATTTGAAGGAACACTTGTTTCATGCATTTAATGAATCCAGTGGATTTTAAAGGCAAGCCAACCTGTTTTTATTTCGTTTTACTAAAGCAGGTGATATGTACATATAGGCCTGCTTTATTCCGACTTTTCCAGGAGTCATCACCCATGCTGCCGTAAAGGATCTCTATCTGTTTGTACAGCTCCCTATGTCGTGGTGAAACATGACCTTCTGATTCCCGTTCTGCCAGCTTGCGTCTGAGAAGATGTCCAAATTTCCCAGAAGGCTGAAACAATGTGTCATGCATTTGAAAAAATAAAATAAGGGGAGAAATAAAGAAACATACGGAGAGTAGGACGTTGGGAGAGATGTGTGAGTGACGAAGATAATGTTTTAAAAGGCAGTGGTGGGATGTATGAATCAAAGAGAATAGCAGAAAGTAAGGTCCTTGAAAATGTGGGGGGTTGTGAGAAAGGCAGAGAAATAAAGAGCTGCTGTTCATTAAACGTCAAGGAAAAAGAAATCATTATGGGATATATGAAACACGCATGCATCTAAATACAGCAGAATATTATTGATTTTTTTTTGTCATTTCATTTGAAATAATGAAGTTGAGTGTGTTCTGGGAGCATCCTTGATTTAAATCTGACTTCCACCTTCAAATGGAACTTAGGGAAGGTAGAGTTGCTTTAGTAGGGGTCATCAGTCTTTCAATATTGTAGTTGCTCTGTTGTTTCTCATATTTGTTGATAATACTTTATGAATTCTGTTGTATTTAGAGCAGCTGGTTCTGATGCCAAATCAAGCATTTTAGGAAATTGAATCAGAATCTCCATAAATCCTGTCAGGAAAGTGAAGGATGATGGTTCTATAGCAGGCTTAGATAAAACGCCTTGGACCAAACCCAACATGCCTCCATCGAGCATCACTAACCTTGTTTTTGTTGAGCTCCACTCTTTAGGTTCTTCTTAATAGAGAACTTTTAATCACTCTGTTTTTGAACTACCATATTTTCTGGACTATAGAGCACACCTTACTATTAGCTGCTGCCACAACATTTTTTGAAAAAACGGGAAAATTATTTATATTCAATTCAGTTTACTTATATAGCGCCAATTCACAACACATGTCATCTCAAGGCACTTTACAGTTCACCAGATCATCCAGTCAAATTGATTCAAAGTTTTCTATTTAAGAAAAACCAGTTGATTGCATCGATTCATTGACTCAAATGCAATCCCTCACACTAAGCATGCTTGTAGCGACAGTGGAGAGGAAAATCTCCCTTTTAACAGGAAGAAACCTCAAGCAGAACCAGGCTCAGTGTGAGCGGCCATCTGCCGTTAAGCTAATGATATCAACTAGATGGTCCCGACAAACCTGTAGGCGGAGCTCTACATATCACAATCTAGAATAGGGACACAGAAGAATGCTAGCTCCCGTTAGCTTATTGGCTCACAGCAGTAAGTGCGTCTACTGAAAGATGGGGCTTCGTCTGCTCTTTATGCTTTGCAGGAGTAGAGCCCGGTCTATTCGTTGGTATGGAAGCTTTAATGTGGCAAATAAATTTCAAAAAGTGTGAATTCAAGACAATTTTTCTTTGTCGTGCCTGCTGCTAGCATGTTCTTGTGCTAAATTAAAATTAGCACCTTCTTCCATTCCCAACTGTGACTTCCCCCACTGGCGGTTAGGAAAAATCCACAGAAAAGCCACATCTTCGTATAAACAGCATGGTTCAAAGAATTGGAAAAAGTAGCGGTTTATAGTCTGGAAATTACGGTAATCCCAGGAAAAACTCTTATTACTCTGGCCACTTTCCACCTCTTTGAAACTTTGCTTCACAATTCCCTCAAAACTGCAGTTATTTCCGTTACTGGCTCACTCTTTGCTTTCACATACTTTCCTTCCACTAAACGTTTTTAATGCTTTTCCACAGCATTCTGTGAAGTACCAGCTTATTCACCAGTAACTGTTTGTAGCTCACACTCCTTGCAGATGATGCTAATGACTGGCAGCTTGACTGCTGTAAAGACAGCAGTGTTTCACACTAAATACGCAGTTACACCACATGATTTTTTCCTTTTGTTCGCACATCATATAATTTTCCAAGAAAGGCTTGAAATATACCACTCTGCATGTATGTAATGTATTCCTCTCTTTTAGAATGGCAATAACATTCCATTACTCTGAATAATTGAGATGCATCTATAGTCTCCCTGCTCTTCCTCCATTTCTTCTCATTAGTTTAGCCATTCTATGCCTCATTTGTCATGAAACCCAGAAAATGCTTGGCTAAATTCTCCTCGGGGTAAACATGTGACCCTGACAAGAAAAGGAGTGTAAATGAGTGAATTTCCACAAAATTGGAATGAGTCATCCAGGACAGCCAGAGGTGAGCTTTAACAAGGGTAATCGACATATATACGTAATCCTGCCTGCTGTGGGGAAAATAACACCACTAAAAACTATGTCTTATAATGCTATGAATATGTTCGGATGCCCAATGAGAATTTAAATCAGAAAGAAATGTAAAGCATATTTATATTACAGCATTACCGATCAGTTTACTCCCTAGACAAGCTGGGGAAATATTCACTATTAGTGAAGTGTTGTGCTAAAAATGAAACAAGAACAAGCTTAAGTATTTCTCAACTCAATCATTACCTTAATAAAATGTTCTCATTGATACTCTCCTGTATGCTACAGATATGGATGCTCTATTTAAATAAAAACATTGAACACACGCAACAAATACATTGAAATCTTTAACTTTAGAATAAAATTAAACTAAGGAAAATGTCAAATGTATAGCTTGTTTTTATACAAACCTTTTAATTTAAATTTTTTTAAAAAGCACTTTAGTTTTTCTTTGTATTTAGGGAGAAATTTTAATGCAGTGTTAAGCTTGAAATGTTTAAGCCTAAATTGATATATACCAGATATATTTAGATTTATAATGGTTTATAGTCTTCTAAAGATGAATGAACCATAACATTAAAGGAAATCTCTGTGTTTACATCTTTAAGCTTTCTGTCCGGTTCTTTTTCCTGAAAAGAAATCACTCGTGACAAACTCTTTAAATAACACTTCATAACGTAAAGGGGTATCTTTTTTTAACCCTTTACAGGGCAAGTTTGCGATCACTTGCATACCCCTTACAAATGGAGCCCCCCTCCCATCCCTCAGTGACGTCTAGAAGCACAAGATCTATATCCAGCCATTCAGCAAAGATACAGCTCATTTTGGCATTTGACCAATTAGGTGAGCCCTTGAATTATATATTACCTATTATAAATTAAGTAAACAAGTCAAGAAAAGAATGTAACGGTTAATAAGCCTAGTTATCAATTATATTAAGGTTTATAGACTTAAAAAAATCTAAGTGCCAGTATCAGCATTAGTGTCTCTAAGGTTATCTTGCACCAAAAAAATTGTGTTTCTTTCACTCTTAGAGTGTTTTTAATGAATTTCTTATAGAAGCACTTTTATTATTTTTCTTAATATATTCGGGCAAAATGGTGTTTCTTGTTATTACATTGACTTTCATTTTTGCCATCAAACTAGCCATGTATTTATAATGTTACTAAGGTCTTATCCTGGATTCCACACTATTTGCTTGAAACTTTGATTTTCAAAGTATTTCACTGAGTGCCCTATAAAGGGTTAAAAAGAAAAAAAAGCAAACGTTTTATTTACATATCACACTTATCTGTTTTTCTTGATAGCGGTAGATATAGCAAAAAACAACAACAAATTAGTGTGTAAAGACCATCAATTTGAACAAACTAAAGATCGCCACAACGTTGAGGTAGAGATAGTTTAATTATTTCTTATAATCAGGTTAGACTCTGACAAAACCTTAACATACTGTTCAAAATAAAATATTAATTTAAACCTAGGAGCAGTTTCCTCATCTTTAACATCCAAGTTCTCAACTAAAGACAAAACGTATTTTGTTTAACCAAACAAAACGCTACATGAATGTTTTTAAAACATAAAGAGACATTTGGTTTTTTTTCTTAAGCAGGGTAAGTAATTATAAATAGCTCCATTCTGGTGGATAACTGCCATATCAAGAATAAATAATCTTTTTTGTAATTATGAGGCATCAAAACATGTTGGAAGAGACCGCCGCTTCAGAATGCACTTATAGGACATAGACAGAAAAAAAAAAAAAACATTAAATTAAAAGAAAGATAACAATCCGTAGAGGATAACCTAAGAGAAAAGCACAAATGTATTTATATTTAACACCCTAAATGCTTCACGGAACATCTAGAAACACTTTTTAATAATGTAAAAATAAATGAAGCATATGATTTTATATCAAGTGCAGCCAGTGCTAAGCCGTCTATGAAAGGAGGTGGTGGTTGAGGCCTTTATGATTGTGTGTTATTTACGTTTGCCTGTGTGAGGAGGGCAGTGTGTGTATGTGTGTGAAGCTGAGATGGGATAAGGACGTGTCTGACTAC